TCTTCTTAGGGTAGTTTGTGAAAGGTCAGCGTTGGCTCCCCTTTAAATGTCTGGGAGTTCATCAGAAATTTTTTTTTTCTGCCCTGAGCCTTTCTTCATGAGAATTAAGTTCCTAATTCAGTTGTCCCACGTCTTTTTTAGAAGCCAAATGATTTTATTTGACACACCATACGATACAGCTGCATGAACACAACAAACCAAATGACAGAGGAAAGACACAGTCCTGTCTAAGTAGTAATTAGGAGCAGGAGGGCAGGCACTAAACAAATTAACCAACCATTAAAGCTGACCGGAGAAATCCCTTTTTCTAGTGTCCATACTCTCTGTCGTCCAATGAACACACGTGTCGTGCTCTGAGCCAGCAAGAGAGGAAGTGGAAATGAAGTGTGGGTGCAGACTCCCCACGTGACGGTGCGCTCTTCCAAAGCCACAGACGCCCGGTCGGCGCAACGTTCGATGCAAAGATCCGTAAGGTGGTTCCTGCAGCGGCACAGTGACCCGCCACCGCATTCCCCTTTCCACTGCAAAGTGCTTCTCCCTGCACCACTGTCGGTGCCGCGCAGGGTACTCATGTCTGCGGCTGCCTTACAGAAGCACACCCCCGTCTCTCAAATCTGTGTCGGTAAAGTCAGTTTAGGGAATCTGTCCATTTCACCTTCTCCATCTAATTTGCTGGTGTGTAACTACCGTATTACCACCTCACTGTGATCGAGTCAAGGCCAGCTCACCCGGCCCCGCAGCGCTGCGGGGACCTGTCCCACGGCTCCTAAAGCTGCAGCCCTTCTGCCAAAGCATTCCCCCAAGGAGAGACTGGTGGCCTTGAACCACCAGCCTCCTAGTTAGCAGGCCAGCACCTTACTCATTGGACTATCAGGGCTCCTAGTGCATTAACATACGGTACCATTTCTTTGTAAAGTTATTCATGATTTCATTACCGTGAAATGTCCTTTTTGCTTGATAGTCTAACCGACCGTCTAGTAATTCCTTTCTTCTCTTCACAGATGTTTCAAGCCTCCAGCGCAGTTTGCACTGGCTTTCTCCACTGGCTGAGCCTTGCTGCGCTCTGTCTCCGTCTCTTTTCCTTCCCCCAGTATTCCCTGGCTTTAGCTTGTGGCTCTTTCCAAAGTTCCCCAAATGGGAAAACTCAAGCACCAGTCTGACTGCTCCCTTCTTGTTTAAAATCTCCCAGCGAGTCACAGATTTCTCTTTGTGAAATATGTGGGCTCAATCATCCCAAAGCCATTTCAGATTTCCCTTGTGGCCAGTTCTCTGACCCACTGGTTCAGGAGGGGGTGTTTAAAATCCCCACTCACTTGTGAATTTCTCAAATTTCCTTCTAATTACTCATTTATAACTAGATTTCCCTGTGATTAGAAAAGACAGATTTAAATCCTTTTAAATGTATTGATACTTGGTTTCGGGTCAAGCATGCAGCCTGTCGTGGGAGCATTCCGTGAACTTGAAAAGAACAGGAGTCCTGTGGAGGGAGGTGCCAGACACTGAGGGCCTCCAAGGCCTCCTGGTCTACAACGTTCTGTCTCCCACTTGCCTGTGGACCTTCGCTGGTTGTCGTCTCCAGGGTTAGAAATCCGGTGGGACTCCTGACCTTTCATTCGTTCTCCTCTCTTCTTGCTGGCATGTGTCTGGTGAGAAGTCCAAGGTGAATGAAAAAGGAAGATTTTTCTCAAAGAAACCACAGAGATCTGTCACATCCACCCTTACGTGTCTCGAAAGAAATTCTTAAATGAGAAAGAAAATTAACACTGGTCAGAAACTCTGTTCTGTATAAAGAAAATGAAGGCACAGAGGTCAAAGAAAGCCCTTGCTTTTCTTAACTCTACTTGATGCACAGAGCGCTGCCGAGGGCTCGTCCGCAGGAGCTGCACTCAAAGCCACAGGCTGCACTTTCAGGGTGCGAAGGACAGGCAATGCCCACTTGTGCAATGGACAGTGTCAGACCACCGGAGGCCAGCGGTGAGCACGTTCCAAGTGCACGATCTGAAATCCAACTCTATGTTCAAAGCTGAATGGAGGAACAGGCTGAAGGGGCAGAGAAAGGGAGTGAGCAGATTCCCTCACGAGGCCCCACCACCCGCCTGAAGAGGTGTGCATTATCTGAAAGTAGGCGCAGATTAGCTGAACATGTATATTGTAAACTCCAGAGAAATTATCAAAAGATTTTTAGAAAGTATAACTGTCGTGATAAAAGAGAACAGAAAATGTTCAACAGCGGCCAGAAAACCCAGCAAAGTGGAAAATTGTCAAGAAAGATATGTGAGTAATACCAATGTGGTACGTATTAACCCAACGTACTAATTGGTCAATAATTGCTTTGAAATGTGAGCAGAATGAAAACAGCAGATAAAACAACAGACACTGGAACGGACAAATCGGAGGAGACCCCCAGTCTCAGCCCTGCTCGCCCATTCAGAGGCCCCTGAGACGTGAGGGAGCTGAGGGAGCCGTCCCGAGCCCGGACTGGCTGTTCTCCCATCTGCACACCTCCACACACACATGCAGTGCATTTCATCACACGTTTATGTGGCCTGTGTGACACACCTTCCAGGTTAAACTGTAAGCTCTAGACAGACAGGGCTGACTGTCCCTACCCGACCCTACACCTAGCCAAGGCCAGACAAGCAATGCCCATCGACACCTGGACTGCACCCCTCGGCCAGGCGTCCTCAAGTCAGCCACAGAGTCCACAGACAACAAAAACCTCTGCCCTGGAAGGAGGCCGGGCCTCCAACCACTGATGTGCCTGCATCCAGAGTGGGGTGCACTGTGAGAGGGGCTCCAGCTGGAATACCAGCACCTCAGCGCGGGAAAGTAGCCCCAGAGGACTGATGCCACCAGCAAGCTCGGAGGGTCAGGGTTCAGAGTAAAAGAGAGGCACCTGCCAGAAACGCAGGCACCATCCACACAGGTTCCCCAAGAACGGACTAGTGTGGGGTGCATGTGTGTGCGGCTGCATTCATGCACCTGTTCTAGAACATGGAAGTGTGTAGGTGTGGGCACAGCTGTGTACCCTTGAGTGCATGTGTGTGCTTCTGTGTGTGTACAGGTGTGCAGTGTGCCTGTGTATGTGCGTGTGTGCCTGAGCACGTCACGTGTGCAGGCAGGTGTGTGTGCTGTGTGCCTCTGTGTGTGAGAGTGTGTGAGTGAGAGTGTGTGTGTGTGTGTGTGTGTGTGCCTGAATGCATCACGAATGTGCAGGCAGGTGTGTGTGCTGTGTGCCTGTGTGTGCAAGTGTGTGTTCACACTCACAAGATGGCCTGCAGCACACTCCCATTCCCTTCCCTCCTCTAGTCTGGACAATTAACACCAATTCCAGTTCCTCACCCTGCCTGATCCCTCCCCTGGCCACATCCCTCCCCCAGCCATGTCCCTCCCCCATCCCACCCCATCCACGTGCCTCCCCCCTTCCAACCCTCCCCTGGCTATGTGCCTCCCCTGGCTAGATCCCTTCCCCAGCCATGTCCCTCCCCGCCAGGTACCTCTCTTAGTCATGTTCCTCCCTTCACCCCTCCCCCAGCCATGTCCCTCCACCAGCCAGGTGCCTCCCGACCATGTCCTTCCCCCAGCCAGGTCCTTTATCCAGCCATGTCCCTGCCCAGCCATGTCCCTCTCCCAGCCATGTCCCTCTCCCAGCCATGTCCCTCCCCTGGCCAGGTCCTTTATCCAGCCATGTCCCTCCTCCAGTCATGTGCCCCCCCACCCCGCCTGCTTCCTCACCTGAAACAGTTTGACATTCAGGCACAGGTGCTGAGAATCACTAGGGTCTTACAACCTCAGTCGGTGCTAAAGTAATTAAGACACACTCACTCCGCATGTTAATCAAACAGTCTATTTCACACGGAATAGCAGTTCTCTAATCACACCTCAGAACTCCCCTTGTCATTAGCAGGGAAGTCTATGGCAGAGGTCCTACGGTTCCGGGATCACCAGGACGTTTCATCAGCTGTCAGACGAGGCACAAGAGGGCAGGAGGAGCTCAGCGCAGCCGTGTGAGAGGGGACAGGGTGGCCGCAGCAATGACAGGACCTCAGGTGAGACCAGGGCAGGAGGCGGGGCAAGGGTGTTGGCCGGTCGGTCCTCTCTCCTGGAGGACAAGCTGCTCTCGACTACACCTCGCCAGACCGAGCCAGTGCTGGCTGGAAACTGACGGCAGGCAGTATGATCTCACAAATGGGAACCGCCACGGATGGTTCCAGAAAGACCAACCGGCTTTAAACAGAAACACAAACAATGCAAGCCAAAGCCCTCCTTTTCTGATTTCCTCTTCCCTCACCATCTCATTGCCATCTAGTCAGAATCACCTCCTCATTGACTGCCCAGTGGATTTCACGGGCTGTAAATTACCAGGTAGGAAAGTGCCCACCTTCCCCCTCAAGGCCAAGGGTGGGCTCGAACTGCCAAAGAGGGCTGTGCGCCACAGAGCCACTCCTCGGAACTGTGCCTGTCACCAGAGCGCCCAAGCTTTTTCTTTGACTTAGATTCATTTTTAAAAGTAAATCCCTCACTTCCGTTCTAAGAATTTTCAAAGTGAAAACAACTTAGAACATAGTCAACACAGTACGGTTCTGTTCCAGCCGGCGGCTGTGACGGAACCCCATCCATGTGGTTCGAGACCGCTGTTTGGAGCTGCGACACTGAGCACGCTCCCCAGACAGAAGACACTGTCATTACAACCACATTTACCGCCCCTGGTGTTGGGAGCACAGGTTTAAGGCAGTTTCTTAAAGTTGGCATTACGGAGAGCACATTTATCCTCTGTAATCTGTTGGCATTAATAGATAAAACCCTAAATGTCACGGCAGCTTTGAACAGTGGTTCTGTGACCTGGCAACCCGCCCGTGTGACAAGTCAGCGGGTGTACCGTCCTCCAGGCCGCTGGAATTAGGAGCTAGGAGCAACTCGACCAGCCGACACGTCTGCAGAGAAACACGGCTAGTGCAGCAACGTTCCTGCTTCTTGCAAATGTCACAGGCTGGTCTTACCTATGTGCTCACAGATGAAGACCACGAAGAAGGGCGTGACGAGGTCGTTCATCCCCTGGACGTAGCCGCTGGCCGGGTGACGAATCGCCCATATGAACAGTATCCTTTCAAAAATCTGCAAGAAAATTGAACAGGAGTGAGGCAGAGAGAAACACGTGGGAGACTTTAAACTGCACCCATCCTCTTACTTACAAGAGATACTGTCAATAATCCCCATTGTCTCAAATGTTAAAACAGAAATGTAAACAAGTATCCATCACTAAGAAACACAGTGGCAAACCTGAAGTTACGTCGCCTTTTATTGACTCTCAAGCGATGTGCACGACCCCAGAAGCCCCCCAGGCTCTCACAGCCCACACTGCTGCCTCAGAGAGGACGCACCTGCTCCCCCACCCCAACGGGGCTGCTGTGCACAGCTGCCGGGATTCTACCGGGCAGCCCAGCAGCACCTGGCCGCTCAGTGAAAATCTTCTCAGCACCCGTGCGGATGCACCCATCATAACGTGACAGGGAGACACATGAAGGGGCGAGTGCGTGGGTGGATGGGCATAGCGACAGGTGAAGGGGCGGATACACAGAGGGGCAGATACACAGAGGGGCAGGGGGGCCGACAGTCAACAGGTGGGTAAATGAATCAGTGGGTGGGTGGAAGGCATGCATGGGTGGGTGGGTGGGTATGTAAGTGAGTGGACAGTTGTGTGAAGACACAGATGAGTGGGTGAATAGGTGGATGGATTAATGGGCAGATGGGTGGGAGAGATGAATGGATGGACAGACGGATGGGTGAGGAGGCAAGTGAATAGATGGACAGATGGGTGAATAAATGGATAAGGGGGTGGATGAGTAAGGAGGTGGACAGAAGGATGAGTGTGAATGGTGTGTAGGGGCACAGACAGATGAGTGCGTAAATGGTTAGGAGTGGGTGACGGATGGGCAGGTACAGACGAATGGGGTAAAGGGGTGAGAGGATGAAGGGATGGGTGAGTGGATGGATGAGTGAGTAAACAGGCGGGATGGGTGGATGGACGGTCGGTGGGGGGGGAGGGAGGGAGAGTGGACAAATGGATTGGTGGGTGGATAAGTGGAAGAGTGGATGATGGATGGATGGACAGGTGGATGGGTGGACAGGTAGAGGTGTGGGTGAGTAGATGGATGGATGCATGCTCTGAATTTCCCTCATTAGAGAGGTATTATATTTTAATCTCTGTTACTTTGGACATATTGCTAAGAAGTGCTATTCCTTTGAAAGGGACATGATGCTGGGAAGGGTGGAGGGTCAGTGAAGGAGAGGAAGACCCTCAACCAGGTGGACTGACAAGGTGACTGCTGCAGTGGGTTCTTGTGTGTCAGGAAGTGTGAGGATGGCACAGGACAGAACTAGGTTCAGATCTTTAGTTTACAGGGTCGCTATGAGTCGTACTTGACTCGATAGCACCTAACAACAACAACAACAACTACCACCAAGCTGAAGCCGAATCGCAGTGGACCCCCTGGCGGATTTTCCGAGGCAGTAAGTCACACAGGAGGAAACGATTCGTCTTTCTCTTAGTGGATTTGGGTTGGCAGCACAACGCGTTACCACTAAGCCATTAGAGCTTTCTCCGCACAAGACGACACGCTTATGCAGACTTCCATCACCAAAACCCTCATCAGCTGTTCACTCCCCAGGTCATCAGTGTGGAACCGCCCCTGCCTCCTCTCTCCTCATTTCAGCACCCACCCCTTCACACCCTCCAATCCATCCCGCTGAGGGATTTCTCCAATGTGCAGCATAGTCTGACCCCATCGCCCACACAAGCGCGCACACAGCTTAGGGATCATCACTTATTCCACACCTCCCACAGGACCAGGCCTCGAGGTCACAGTGCAGCCCACTGGCCCCTCTTCCTGGCCTCACCCCTCCTCCTGCTCCTCCCGCTCAAGTACCCACATCCTCACCTTCCTGGACTCTGCAGGTCACACCTGACACTGGCCACGGCCTGAAGAAATGGGCCTTTTCAGCTCTGAAGAACCTCTAGTCCTCTAGCCTCCAAGAGCCACGTCCTGCCTCCTGTCACTCTGCTGTCACCTCCCCTCTCGTCTCTCCCTCTCCTGGTCAGTTTCAGCCGAGTCAGCATTTCCCAGTGATGAGCTGAACCTCCTGACCCCTGCCCAGGATGGACAGCTGGCCTTGGGTCTGAGTGGAGCCCTTCTGCACAAGCACACAGGACTCCAGCCTGCCCTGGGCCACGGTACCGAGAAAGGTCTACAGCTCCACAACCCAGGGACAGCGACAATACAACGCCCTATGAAGGCTGGATGATGGGCACCCAACAAATGAAGGCACTACAGAGGCAGCTGTACTTGTGCCCTAGGGAGCTCTGGTGGACTAATGGGTAAGGAGTTGCACTCCCAACCCAAAGGCACATGGTTCAAATCCACCAGCTGCACTGTGGGAGAAAGACAATCTCCTCCTGTGTAACTTACTGCCTCTGAAACCCAGTGGAGGGTTTTCAGCTATGAGCTGGTTCTGACTCCATGGCAACTAGTATGACTTGAACCCTGGAAAGTCAATCTCTTCGGCATTACCTAGGTTCCCCAACATTACAGGCACGCTGCATTGTCTGCCCTGCCCTTTACTGCACATCCAAGATGCTACGTATTTTACCAGCCAAAGGAGTGTGCCAACCCTGAGGTTGAGGGGAGCACCTCTTCAGTACCATCACCCCAGCAGTGAGTGCTCCGTTGGTATCTCCAGCACACTTTGATCATTCTTCCAACACTAAAGCTTTCTCATAATGCTACCTACTGGGCTATAAACGCAAACCCTCCCCAAGCTCGCTGGCCCTGTCGGCGCTGACACACAGCCACCCGCCACAGCGTTTTGCAGGCGTGGATCCTAATGGAGGGGCCTGTCCGTCTTACTCCCGAGGAACAATTGGAGGGTTCAAAGCACGTGGTGCACCGGCCGTGGGGGAGCAGTTCAACCGCCTGTGGACGACACACGACAGCCCCCACGACCCCGAGCGGGTGAAAATCCTGTGCAACAGACTACACTATAGTGTCAAGTCCACCAGCTGCTCCAGCGAAGAAAGATGGGTGCCATCCTCCTGTGTCACTGACCACCTCCAAGCCCCCACAGGACGGACGGCAACGAGTCAGTCCTGACTCGACAGAAATGCCTGACCCACTGACAGATGCTGTAAATATAACTTCATATACCTCAGGAAGTCCAAATCCGTGTGGCTCACTCCATCAAGACATTCCCTTCCCTGCAGGGGCCAGGGGGTCAGAACCAAGACTGCGTCATCTCAGGGTCTGCTTGTAGGGGGTAGTCCAGATCCCCAGTCACCACCAACCAAGGCACTGATAAATGTGGTGCATGACACAGCCCATTGGGGTGTAACCAGCCCTGAATACCAACGCTCTGACCCCAGCCGGGTCCCTGTGATCATCTCAGCACACCTCCACAGACACTGTGCACTCGGGCCTGCACCCAGCACAGTGCCCACGACACGGTACCACGCACCTGGCCTGCACCCAGTGCCCACGACAGGACATCATGCACCCAGGTCTGCACCTGGCACAGTGCCCACGACAGGACATCATGCACCCAGGTCTGCACCCGGCACAGTGCCCACGACAGGACATCATGCACCCAGCCTGCACCCGACACAGTGCCCATGACCTGGTACCACACACCCAGCCTGCACCAAGCACGGTGCCCAATCACACTCATTTTCATTTCAAGTTCATAGCTTTAAAGAAAGTGAGATACTTAGACAAGATCAAAACACTAAAGTCACTCAGTGAAGCAGGCCAGTCTGTGTACTTCCTGTGCACAAAGACGAGGCGCTGGGGCTGGAGCTGGGGCTGGAGCTGGGGCTGGGGCTGGGGCTGGGGCTGGGGCTGGAGCTGGGGCTGAAGCTAGGGCAGCAGACAGAAGGGAGCAGCCTCACGTGGTCCAACCTTCATCTGCACAAGGCAGGGTCGTGGGCAGGACGACCCCTGACCACTCCTCCTCTCAGCTGACAGTCAGAGATGCAGTAGCCACACAATAAGAGGTGCCAGTCCTGCCTGGAGTGCCCCCTGTTCCTGGTGCTGACCACGGGAGCATCTCACACACCGCCTCCCCAGCCTGACCCCGTGGCCTCTTGGTTCTCCGTGTGATCACAGATCTAGGGACAACCACACCATGTCCACTCACCACCCTGCTCAATACTGCCCACAGCAGCTGCTTGTCACCTGTGAAATGAAAAGGCCCGACGATGTCTCTGTGGACGCAGAGGGGAGGGACTGTGACCTTCTGAAGCCCTCTGTCCTCCACTGAGTGCTGAAGTTAAGCAGGGGACACAGCAAGAAGCCAGCAGCAGCTCCACCCTCAGCCAGATCGCAGTGAGGCCCAAGGGGCTGCAGGTCACTGGAGTTAGAAAGTCCCTTTCAGCCGTGCCCATGCACTCATCGCCAAGCCCTGGGCACAGACCACCTGTGCTTCAGGGGATGGCCGACGGTGGCCTTCCTGTCCACTGCCTCTGATCGCTCACACATGGCTGGCTGTTGCTGTTAGATGCCGCCACGTTAAGTACCACCCACAGCAACACCATGAACAGACCTGAACCTGTGCTTTCCTGTGCCATCCTCACCCACGGCAGCAGTCACTGTGCCAATGCACCCGGAGGGTCTTCCTCTCTCTCACCATCCCTCCACCCTTCCGAGCATCATGTCTCTCTCTGCTCCTAGCAGCATGCCCGTAGTGTGTGAGATGAAGCCTTGTCATCACTGCCTCCAAGGAGCTCTCTGGCTGCACCATCTCCAAGACAAGACCAACAGGACCATGCAAACATGCTGTTCGAACGCTGACCAATAATATTACGTAATATTCTAACAAATATTAAGACAAATTACAGCCCTCGGGAGAAGTCCAGAAGGCTGGCGTGAAGGGTAATCAGGTTGGCGATCCCACCAGGCTGACACTGAGTGAGCCCAGAGATGGAGAATGAGGACCCACCACCTTCGAGAAGAACAGGTCAGAGAGCATGGCGTGCCCTTTGGACCGGAGATCTCCACGGGAATCAGAGACAGAGCTGTGACACCACAGATGTGAGGGCGGCTCCCTCTGCTCCTGTCACACAAGCT